GATGCTGTATACTTACAGGAATTGAATAAGACTTTTCAATATAAAACACAAGATTTTGTACAAAAGCAACTTCATCCACTGTAAAAACAAGCTGAATACCTGCAAACAAAATATGAAATGATTTATGTTCATAACAAATAATACAACATTTTAAATTGTGCAAATACATGTAAAATGAAATACAAAAATATGAAATTCAGTACCTGAAGCAGTCATTTGTGCAAGTATGAGAAGGTAAAGAGATGTAGCATCAATTTGAAGATGTCCCCATGCATGGTCACTAACACAAGTACTGCCAGTTGCTGTGGGAAGCCAAAAATTCACTTGCTATTTTGCAAAATCATATGTGCAAAAAACAAAACACAATATTCAAAGAGGTTTTACCAATATCATATTTTGCATGAAGAGAATCTGCTCTGGATTGACTAGTCTTGAAGCTTTCTACTTTCTCAGCCTGTAAGTAGTGTTAATAAAATGCAGTTTCAATAGGACTCCTTACATCCAGTAGTGTCAGGATCACTTTGTTACAACAACAAAACAGTGCCTGTATACAAAAGGACCTTACCTGTCTCATCATTGATGAAAGTAAACCCCTCATACACTTGACAACAGCCTAAGAAAGAGACAATATGTACTACAAATTAGATCTAGGTAAAAAATTTGTAATCAAGAATGTACATCAACTCAACATTTTCATATCATGGCAAACAATGAACCAGGTGAGGTTCTGTGTAGTGTGACTTCTGTTGCTACCCATTGAACAGTTATATAGAATCTACTCCTAAAATGATGTTTATAAAACGTAATATGAATTTTTGTTACCTGTGTTAACTCATAAGCCTTGGCACGGTCTTCATCCATGTCTGCATTTTTACGATAGGCCAAAGCCAATGCCCACACTGCAATAATGCTGTATACATTGTCACGTACCCAGGCATGCTTGGGAAATTCACTGGACTGATGATCCTCAGTATTCCATTTAACTCTTGGTGGAAGCAGACCTGTGACAGGGTCCTACAATTGTACAATCAACAAATTTGAAACCCATATTGTTTGTTTATTTTTTAGTTCAACAGGAAACATATTGTGCGAAAGCAGCTGTCATCTTGATTTAATTTATTCTAGCCAATCAGAGTACACTGTTTGACCAAAACTTGTGTGCAAAACAAGTAACACCATTTTAATACAACTTGGATATATAAACAAACATTCTTGTGTCTTAAATTTTGCGGCATTGACAGGAACAGGTGATGATATGTACATCTGTACWCCAGTATATGTAAACAATGAATTATAACATGGTATGTACAAGATATCTAATCTTCAAGGCTGCTGTGCACAAATGAACAACGTCGAAATTCGGTCATAGTCCAGGGACTTCAGCTGACATTRGACATATCAAAATCTCCAAAATAATTAGGAATAATTAAAGATGGTTTACATTAGTGAAATTCTAGTCAACAAATGTAACAATGAACTACTCACTATCCTRCGTTTGATAAGCTAATCAAAATTCTGAAAGTTGAGAAAGAACGAAGCMMTGCAATCTTGATCRGTTTCTCAAATTTCAAGAGGATGCAAAAATACTTTTTCAAAAAATATCAAAAAAAAACCTTTTTCAACAATCGTAACCTTACAGTTTCACAGTGAATTGAAATCATACTTTGTATAACCTGTTAATCGAACCATGAAAACACCAACAGAAGCACAGGCTTCGCAATGTTTTGATGGCACTTGTTGAGTTTGGGTTGGAAAATATTGGGATTTTTAATACCTGGAAGTCAAGTATTGTACTCGTTACCAAGTGGTGATACCAGTCCAAGCGAACAATTGAATTACTTCTTGTTCTCATCTTGGTAGTTTTCACCGCAATCTAAAGGCATCTTGCGGATTTTTTGAAGAAAACTTAGCCATTATCTCTCTCGAACATGACAGTATGATGGACGTTGTATCCGAGCTTCTGAAGYAGAGGTCTGGGACGAGGTGTCCCGGATGTGTAGACGCGTCAAGACCGCGGGAACTTTCCGCGGGAAAAACAAAATTGAAAATTTGTATTGTATTTGTCAATGTTTTGACTTTTAACTATATGAAAATATCACATTTTGAATAGTTTTTGAACCCTAAAGTTTCTGATAAGCAAAATTCAAGATGTACAAAAACTGCAGCAGTCTTGTACAGTTTGTGGAGGAGATAACTCGAGGTCTTGACGAGGTAATGAGAATGAAATTTGTAAGACGAATGATTTCTGYTTTTCATTGATTTTATTATTTTGTAAAGGAGTTGAGCTTATTGGAACTTGAAGGATCAACACGAGAAGATCGCTTTCGGATACACAAGACCTATTTTGAAACCATATTGAATGAAAACTCTATTTTCAAGAGTCTTTTACTGGATATTAAGGTACATAGGCAGTTGGCAAAAAGGTTGTAAGGTAATCGGTTCTATTTGCCCATTATGTAGCAAACTGTCTTTTCTCACTAATACTAATTTTAAGACGCTGCTCTCTTGAAATCTGCAGTAGTTTTACCTTATACATAGACTACATAGAACTTATCAATAAAGTATGGCAGGGAATGGAGAAAGGTAAGGGCACGACACGATTTTGCACACTTCGTTTTAGGAAAGGGCGCCGGGACTTAAGCTTATAAGTTGCATGTAAGTTGAGGTAGATTTCTATTGCAGCTATTGGGCTTAGGTTTAAGGTCGTTTAAGTCGTCCTGAAAACCAGGCTTAACTATATTAACGATATTAGTGACGTCAGGAACGGACGGTACCAGTAGTAAATAATGTGACCTAATGATTACTAATGCCAAACTCGTACAGCTTTTTCGAAGCTTTTGACCTTTCGGAACGACTGAAAATTGCCGACCAACCGCCAAGGGAATTCGGGATACACCCGAGAGATGTACACAAGAAGTCAGATAAGTGAATTTCTAAGAGTATATTCGGTCGTTCAAAAGCAATTACAAATATTCGTAATATCATTCACAACAATTAACTGTTATGGTTGTCCTGGCGCCCTTATGATTAATCGAGGATGAGTTTGGGAGTTGTGCAACTTTTTCAGCTGATCATGGCCTTCTGATGTAGATCCTTTAACTAAACTTGGAAGTTTAAGACAGTAAAACCGCCTTAAAATGAGTATCGGTGCTTTTGTGTTTTCCGATTGGTCCGATTGAAAGTCTCCATTTACTGGATTCATCATTATACTGATGAAAGATATTTTGCAATCATCGCGAACAGTAAAATCAACGTCATGAGTACCAATAAAACTTCAACCATCAACAGATGTGCAGCATCACCATCATCTATGCCATCATAATTAAAAGTGCGAAGACCATCCGGCGGTAGAGTTACTAGTAAATTCTTAAGGAAGCCCTAAAATGACGGTAGATGCGGAAGGAATTTCTTTTCGTCCTTTAGATTTATGAATAAGAAATAAATCCCGAGAAGTGTAAAATAATAGCAAAAACAAAAACAAAAAAACACAAACAAAAACAAAAAAAACAAAAAAAACAAACAAAAAGCATACGACCTGGATTCGAACCCACGACCTCAAAAAAGAAAAAAAGATTTGGGACGATTCCCCCGAGACATTCTGTGAAGCTGAGGCGTCGAATCGATTTACATTCCGGTTAGAGATTTCGGCTCTTCCATGCTATCCCGATAATTGGTACTAACTTCGCGCTAACTAAAAAGCCAGTGAGGGAGAAGCTATCCGGCCCCTAGACACTGATGGATAACCCCTTGCACTAACTAGGCAACTATCGAAAGTATAATGTCAAATTGGGGTAGTCTATTCGGTGAAAGTGTCAAGCTGTCTATTATAATGTAAATGAGCGCGGAACTATGGCACAACACACTAAGGCGTTTGATATTAATCCAACGTCTACAGGATCAAATCCCAGTCATTGAAACATTGCAATCATCTTTTTTTTGTCTTCATTTTATTTATGTTTTCGACGAAATTCATTCWGTTTTTCTTTCGGCTTTGGGGATCATTCATTAAGTTCTGAATGATTTTCAGTGATAAATCTGAAGGTTAATCTGGTCACATGGAAAGATATTATTTGTATTCTTTACAGTGCACTTTAAATGTTGCCAGTGCAAATGAAAAAGTTTATGCGGTATTTTAAAGTTGAGCTGTTCATTTACACTATGAAAATAACACTGAGCTGACGCATCAGCTCCATTAAGTGCCACTAACTATTGGGGTCCCTTTGGGGTTCCCGAAGAGACTGGAAACAAACAAAGAAAAAAAAAACATGCAGGGAGGGGTAGAAGGAATGATGAGAAGTTGGCAACTCTGGCTCCAGAGCCACATTCTTGCCTCCACTCTTTCTTCCCTTATCCCCAGTGCCCTTTCTTCACCTTTTCTTCCAAAGTAACCCCATCCAATAGAATAAAGGCAGAAGTACATAACYAGAGGTGTCCATCTCGCTCATAATCAGCATCAGATGTCCCGATAATCTATTTTTAGACAACCAATCGCAACGCGCGCACATATTACACGGCACCTGATTGGTCCTTGTCCTTATTGCTCTTGAACTGCCTTCGCTACATTGCTCATATAGTAAAGAATGTTTTTTATCAAATTCTGAATGGTTGTTCAACAAAAAGTGTAAAATTCTCGTAATGCAAGCTTCACTTCGTTCGCATCCATCGACCTACATTTTCCTTTTTCTTGTCCGCTATTGAAGTAGATCAACAAGGACCAATGAGGTTCCATGTAATACATGTGCGCGCGTTGTGATTGGTTGTCTAAAAATAGATTATCGGGATATCTGATGGTGTCGATATCATAAGCGAGATGAACACTTCTGGTTATGTGCTTCTGATAATGGGTATAACTAGGATTGTTGCTTTTGCCTGGAAGAACCAAGGAAAGCACTTAAGAGTCAAAAAAGAAGGTGATAAATTTGCATCTGTTTCAGTCAGAGTACGAAGAATGCATCAACACGATTCTAGGAGGACAAAGAGAACTGGCTTATCTTACAAGAAAACTCGCTGAAAGACTTAGCGGTCCTCCAACAATACGGTAACGACACGAAACGAAAATATAACCCCTCCCCCCCTCCCCAAAACAACAACAACAACAACAAAACAAACAAACAAACAAACAAATCAAACCAATACAAAACGTAGAAAATATTCTATCTCTAGCTTTGATCAGTTTCTTTGTTTTTGTTGTCATACTTTATTTGTTTTTATTATTATTATTTAATTCTCATGGCATCAGTAATATTACGTTATTTTTTTCAGAAACTATAAAAAGAGGGGGGGRTATCTTGAAAAGAGGATAGTCCTATTACAAGAAGAAAATGCAAGGTGTGGCAGTAAATTTGGAGAATTGAAAATTGAACTAATCTAATCACAAGGTTAATTTTTTCTCGCCAGAATGTCAGAAAAACTCAATTTGCTTAGATCAAGCACCCAGGGTCGCCGAACAGCACAAGAAATCGAAATTGAGGGTGATTTTTACTTGTCTTTTTCAGAATTTCACATGCGTCCATAAACAAGAACTTTTAGGGGCTTTAACGTCCAAGTAGCAAACAAGCCGTTTATACATGCCACGCGTATATTAGCGTGCAAACCAGCTTTGTTATAAATTTGACTTGTGGTTTCATGCCCACAATAGATTTAAGGAATAAAAGACGAAATTCCGTGTTTGATACTCTGTTTTGATCAGAGTATCAAACACGGAATTTCGTCTTTTATTTCTTTTTCTAAAATATTTAGGATACTACGCGCGCTGTGATTGGTCGAAAACCATGTTTGACGCTATACGCGTCGTGGTTTCCTACGCTTCTCTCGTGCTCTCCCTACATCCCGCGTGTTTTGATCAGAGTATCAAACACGGAATTTCGTCTTTTATTCCTTAAGCTAAAATTAACAGAATACGAAAATTGTAAAGAATTCTGACTTTTGATACGATATGAAACGATGAATTCTCCTTACATTGCAGTTGTCTGCAGCTTCTGTAGCTTCTAAAACGTTTGATAGCTCTTCTTCTAGGATATCATCCCAGAGGACATCATAAATAGGCATTTCTTCATTCATTGTTCTTGAAAATGAATGATAACAACAACAAATGCAAACGGCAGGAAAAAAGAAATTTTGACGCGCGCGAGCGTGTTTTGATACTGTAATCAAACATGGTTTTCGACCAATCACAGCGCGCATAGTATCCTAAATATTTTAGAAAACCAGAATAAGACATTCATTTTTATTCTAATGCTATTTTCCTTGATGTTAGGACGTCCATTTTCATTATTTGCTAATATGATGTGATAAACGTTTGCTAATTGCATGCGTTTAACGTATATTTTGATGCAGATATTGCTGAAAGTCCAGACAATCGATTGAGCTTCCAACCAATACCTTCACTTAGTATGGCTGACCAGACAAATATTCCTATTCTAAGAAAGAAGGTATGTGATATCTCGATACTTTAGTTCTGGATTGTTGTTTCTTGACCAAAAGGTCTTTAGGGTGCGTCATACTTCCTAACTTGTGAAATAGTTAGTCAGTAGTCTAAGAACATATATTTTGACTATTTTTTTTACACATTAACAATTTGTTAGTGTTGCACGGGTTAAGTGTACGATAATTTTTTCACTTTTCTTTTTCTTTTCTTTTTCTTTTTTCTTTTCTTTCTTTTTTTGACGGAATTCGATGCGATTTTGTTCTTGGCTATTTTCATCGCCTTTGGGGGTTTCAGATACACTTAATTATGACCTCTCCATACATGTACATCATTTTGGTAAGAAATATAACAATATAACAGTTATAAAGCCGGAGAATACTTACCTTTTTAGCTCGCACAAGCTACTTCAAAACTTATAAAAYTCAAAGGCGATGACCAAAAGAGGTAAGTAATCGTATTTTTAATTTAAAGGATTTCTTTTATCAAATAAATGCAATATTTTTAACCTGYAGATTCACATCCAAAGACGTCAAGCATAACCTTGTGGAAAGACTTCTTGAAAAAGAGGTATTATACTTTATTTCTCTACTTTTCCAAATGATCTGTTATTTCGGTTTTTAATGTCTTTTCTCATCGTCGTTTCACTGAATTTTACTTCACAGGATATAAAGTTAGATTTAGAGAAACAGGCAAAGTCTCTTGAATTAAAGCTTTGCGCACTTAAAGTTTCTTTCGCAAATATGGTAAGGACATGTTACGCGGGGGACAGGGAGCCCGGCACTAAGAACGGCTGCGAGGAGACTAACGTTACATTTGTGTAAGAAAAATCAACAGGCATATAAGGTCCTTTTAATTCTTTTTCTTTTCCTTCTGATTTTATAGCTGCGTCGATCAAGTAAAAGAGAAAATGTTTTGGAGAAAATTGACAACGTCCTGCAGCTGGCAAAAGATGATTTCGTAGAACCAAGTAATTAGAAATGATGAATTTCAAAGGTAAAAGCAGTCTAGATTAACTTTCCACATCTCATTTCAGTTGAAGAGGAAGAAGAACCAGAGGAAGAACCAGAGGAAGAACTTGAAGAAGAGAGCGAAAGTGAAGAATCTGTAGAGGTYGTCATAGTTTTACTGWTTTGTTTTGGTTTACCGCACGAGCGAGCCATAGCCGAAGCCCTAAGCGACATGCGGCGTTTTGTAGAATTAAAGGCGATATGGAATGCTTTTAAGCAGTGCATCTAACGCTATTYATTAACTTTCCCAGGATGATCCAGCAATCAGCACACAAGAACGATTATTGATAGACTGTGTAACTACTTTCAATATGGTGAGTAGCGTTCTTGTACCGACATAGTACATCACCGYATCCATGCCACGATGGCCCCCGACATGCCTATAGTCTTTATACGTTAGTTTTCCACTTTAAACAGCAAGCAATCGATTAGGATCAAAGTAYTGCGGAAATCTAGGCGGATCCAGGATTTTCTATAGGGAGGATGGGACTCTCRCGAGGAGGAGTTGTGGACTCAAATGAACAAACTAATTGGATCCTCCTCTGCAAAAATAGAAACAATTCCTAAAGTCACTTCATCAATTCCTTTATTGGGCAGTGTAGTGGATGACATCGAATACATTTCTACACGAAAGCTGGTCTTTGTCGTTGTTGTTTTAAGTTTTCAAGGACAATGCAGATGATCTCACGACAAATTTCATTCTAGCTACTTGCAGATGGTGAAATCGAAGATGCGATTCTCTTTGCTGCCCATTCGCCACAGGTACTTCTTAATAATCTAAAACTTCCGATAACCCGTWAGCTTAGTTGGTAGAGGGCGGTATGCGGGAGGTCAGGGTTCTTTCCCACGCTGGACCGCAATTCAGGGTCCTTGTTGCATATGGAGATGTTATTGCTGCCTTTGTTTCTTTACCTGTAAATTGTTAGGTCATCACGTCTTCTTGGTGAAGGACCTCCTCACACCTCAATCTCCTATGAGGACGTGAAGGGGACGTAACGATCCCTGCCCACGATCAACTTTGCATGACAAACATTTTGCTGTGAAATTACATACAAACATCGATTTGAGATTCGTGTTAAGTTAAGCGTTTTATTYATATCTCGCCAGGGGATTTTACGAAGCCAAGAAACTTTGGAATCATTGAAACTCATGGGAAGGTATTCAATCCTTACAACAATTGAAAAAAATCATCAKGTGCAAAGCTTTGAAGCCAAGGCTGAAWGGGAAGWTGGGAAGGTGTCACTGTTAATTTCTCTGTCTTCCCAAGGTTCCTYTCGGTCTTACCGTCGTAACATAATTATCTGAAAGAGATCTGAAGGCAAAATGGTAGTATAACAATGATTATTTCTTTGGGTCTCCTTTCAGATCAGATGAAATAAAACGATGAAATTAAATCAAAACCTCAAAACGTTTTCAAATGAAATATATTCATTGAGTTAATGATTTACTAAACTGTATTTCTTTTTAGAGAAATACTAAATACATACTGGGAAGCTTTGCTGCTGTCAATGTTGATACAGCACAAGAAGCTTTCYACGTGGGAAACTATTGAATATGTGAAATATTCCCTAGAAAATGGTATGTCATATCACGACCAATAGAAAAAATTTAGCAAAAAAAAGAATGTCAGAGATCAGCGACTGCTCGACCAACAGCCTTTGTCGGCATTCAGTTTTTGAGAGGCAATAGTCGTCTGTTGAAAAACCGACGGACATGTCAAACAAACAACGATCTTTATTCATCAAARCTGAAATATTCGGATTGATTTTGACGGGTGAATATTGCTATAGTTAATCATCACCCATAGTAGCTTTCGGTCGTGCATTCGACTTTTTGACAACCTTTATGAAATAGTGACGTTTACTGATGAATGAATATAGCACATATAAGTGATTATTCGCACGCGTTATAGTACATAATCCGGTGGAAAATACATTGATCCATCTCCTACAGAGCTAAGTTGTAGGATGTACAGGTAATTGGTCACTGCAATCGAAGACCGGCCTTTACACCCATTCACGTTTCAATAAAAAAAGCACGCAACCTGATCATTTAAACCTAATAATAAAAGGAAAATAGAGAATATGAAGTGGAAAAAATACACGCACAAAACAATAGGAACATCAAATAATTTGCAATGARCTCACCGAAAAACCCTGCGGCATTAAGCATTTCCTGGTACGTGGAAGCTTTAATTGATAGGATTCTACTAAACTACAAGTTTGTAGGAAATCTTATCAACTGCATTATAAAGACTACATTGAGACATAATACTTCGGCGAGCAAACGTTCATGATGATGAAATCTCTCCCAAAGATACCCCGGTTTATTCGTCTAGTCGCTAAATAATCYTTTTCTTACCGCTTTTGCCTCCAGCTAGTTTTAGACTAACTATTATTGACATTTTTACTGGTGCCATTAATTTACCTCATTTATCATCAACAAAATACAATTTGGCATCATTCTAATCAATTGGTCGCTTTTCCGGCTTCTTTTCTATTAACTGATTCCAGACTAGATTTCCACTGAGTGCTAGTATTTAACATGACTCTCCTTTGAGATAAAAAACACCTGATTTCTCTTATCTTTTTTCATTCTATTGATTGACTTTTCAACAAAAAAAAAAGAGAAAAACTAATTTCCTTGTGGCTGCAATTTGTATTCTTAGGAAACTAATACTTTCTTCYCTGTTAGATAAAATCCTGGAGCTGACTCACTGGCTGGCTCAAAATGTGGTAAGGTTAGGTAATTGATCACACAATGGCAGTAAACTCCTGAATGATTTCATTGTCTGTTGATAACCTGATTCCAGAGAAACTCTAAAGGGGCCGCACAAAATTCTTTATGTGGAACTGGGTCAAAGGGTGATTTTTTAGACAGTCCCCTACTTATTTTAGTCACATGCGACCATAATCAGCCCACCAGCTACATAGCTAGTTTCCTAGCTTCCTAGGTGTAAATACACAAGAAAAACTAAGTTTTCAATCATATTCATTAAGGATTAGCGAATGCGATATTCTCATTACCAGCTTATGATGATGAGGTATTCACTTTTGCGTTTTAGTCGCAATTAGAATGTTGATATACAAAATTAACAACGGATCGAAGACCAACTTAGAAGCATTCTGTYCATGATATACACATATTAGCTAAACTATAATTATCTCCTATATATCTTCACTTGTGACGTCACCACCATTATCATCCGGAAGCCATATCATCCTCAATTATCTTTTTTATCAATATTATAATTATATGTCATGTTGTTTAATATTTCAATCCATAATTTCATTTAACCGTCCATCCTTTTCCTAATTGTTGTTTGACGCTTTTTAATCTAAAAAAAATCTGGCAGTTCCAAGTTTAATCTATACATTGTTATGAAATTAAATTGTTACAATCCATGCATATTCATTCCATGTTTTCATTTTGTGTTYCTCCTTTTCTTGTTGGATTGCTGTTTGAGGTTTTTAAGTCTGAACMCTGCATGAGATCTGAACAATTTCCACTTCAATCTAGACTTATTACAGCAAATACGGTTAAGACCGGTTAACATTGTAAGTTCCGCACATTCCCGTTCATTGTTCATTTCATTCAACGTCCCTCCTTCTTTAATGATTGCTGTTTGAAAGCTTTACAACTCATTTGCTCTAAAAAGATCCGTACAATTAATATTTTAGTTCATATTGTTATAAATCTGAATTAGTATAAATGATATTTCCACTTCCCATTCAAACCATTCAAGATAAAGCTGTCTCGCGAACAGTTGCCAAAAAAAGAAAAACCGTGAAARTTTTTTCGCCCTCGCGCGCCTCCACGAGTATATTATATATATATAATACWCGTGGCAATAAAAGCTTGAAAGTACTTGTTTATCTTTTTCCCTAAATAGTTTGAGGATGTAGAAGAAATCGCCGATTTGATGATTAGACATTGCAGTTGTCTAGATAGAAGGTAAGTCTATCTCTTGGTACTAACAATGGTCTAGATTGCTTAGTTWAGGTGTGAATCGGCACCGCGTAGGCTAATAGCAATGGAATGGCAATTATTGTCGGGATTATTTTGTTGAAAATGCGCATTTCTTAGATAGTTTCCTCCGTCATTTCCTAAACACTTAACATTAATGCCCATTTAAAATCTAAAAAAAGATAATTATTATGGACGTTATACCGATATTTCGTTACAACATGGCTTGTATCATACACGAAATCTTTTAAATCAGATTGTTTTTGGTTTTTTAAGAGGGATATTTTTCTGTGCACAACAGCTCGCTAGGTCAAGGTTGGCATGAATAAAA